GCATTCGAAGCAATTTTCTAGATCTCCTTTCATCGGGAACGCTCATGATAAAAGAGTAAAAGCCAAGGATCATAAATACCCGAATACGATAGGAGGAAACGGGTGAAGGATTATAGCACTAAAAGGAGACAAAATAAAGTAACCAAACCTAAGAAAAGAAATGATGTCTTTCGTAAATTTATAGCATACGAATTTTACTTGCTCGGAAATACCAGCGAAACAGTTGATATTTCTACTAAATATATTGCATCCTCACGACAGTGCTAAAGATGACAAGCCTGGTGAATACAGCAGCGAAACGTGTAAACTGATAGTATAAACGTTTGATGCTTTTAATACGATAAAAATAGTACCCAACTTTTCAACAAATTGATATTTGATGTTAACCAAACTTGAGTTCTTAAAGCTATCCATCAATTTTGACAATTCTTTCTCCCGCTTTTGAAACTATTATAACATGGAAATGATAAAATATAAAAGATAATTGGCTTGAAGAAACAGTCAGATCTATTAATTGCATCTCCTGAATACCGAAAACTACAGAAAAGCGGGCTTTGTTTTCATAGTGGACATCATCACATAAATTGTATCTATACTCAGGTTATGATAGATACCGCAATGCAAATTTGATATCTTAAAACAGACTACCTTGGTAACAAAAATGAGGCGATGAAATTACAGATTGGTGCACGCCATATGACGAGAGGAGAGATTACTATTACCATTTCCTAGTATTTGTCGCTTGCTTGTTGAGATAATATATTTATCCTAACACACCATTAGTATACCATATACTTGAAGAAGGCTACGCCATCACGACGCGATAATCACGTTCAACGCAAACTTGTCAAAACCGGTTTGTCTAATTAATTTAAAATGATAACAGTATTGATCGATATGCAATCAAAATATATTTGTTTATACAAGATGGCTTTTCAGGATAATCAATTAGCCAGGTGTTAAACCGTGAACTTACAATGGTACAGTAGTGAGCTGTATTAATAAAACACTATAAAAGTGTAAATTAAACTAAAAGACACGCCGAATATATCTCGGATAGAACTTACGTTGTAACGTAGATCATTTTTTTTCTTCAAATTGCGGAGTTAGAAAATTTACATCCTGGGTACCCTGTTGTGAACCCCTAAACCAATGACCCTGATAATGAAGAACACCCGGATGACAACAATCAATCAGTATTGTACACTGTACGACAATGTTTTGATCGTGATGAAATTTCTTTTAAAAAAATTCTTTTTAATCGGATATACCAACGTCGGAAATGAACGATGGAAGTAAAACGAAACTCTCGTGTCACAATTCAAACAACGCGAGGATTATGATGAAAATGAAAACAATGAACACAAAGCGAAAGTGAAAGTGACATGTCGAATACTGATGCTACCGAGGTCTATTTGACATACTAGGATATGTAAAAAATAGTTAAAATATTATTTTTTTGAATTCGAGGAACAACCAGTTTCTTAAATTTATATAGCCAATGAATAAGAAGATTCAAAACAACGATCATGCGAAGTTATTTCGTTATTGCGTTTTGTATTAATGAGTTTATAGCTTACAATCAGACAGAACTTTTACATGCAATATATCGGACGTCACAAGTCATTAACTTCCGGTCGAAACGAAAACCTGAATAAACCGGCCCACTGTCCAAACCGGCCCTTTTTCATAGTCCCGTAGCCGGCCGGTTTATACAGGTTTTACTGTAATCCCATTTGACGTACCAAAATTTATAAAATTATAAGTGACATTGCACCTGTTGTATAACTATGTGTAGCATTGTCCCTTCGGGGAAGCATTTTATGATGATTGTCCATCATAAATAAGTTATGCCAACATATTTAATTGTATATTGCTTGATTAGTGTATTGAGTAAAGGTTGAAATAATAGTCTACACTTTTTGAAAAGATTCATTTGAATTGATGTTTCATGTAGTAATTGATGTGATATTTCAAGCTTCAGAAAAATATAAATGAATACATGGAGTGAATTCTTTAAAACATAATAACACTTAATTTTATACATGAACATTTCAACTCACTCAAATGTCTTTGGTTTCGGTTTTAGGTTGTGATGAAAGCTAATAATTTGATTAGTTCATTCAATTAAATTTTAGTTTTTTGATTAATTGGGCAAAATGGTTGACTACAGTCCTTGGATGGTGTAATTTTCCCACTAACACCATACACCATTATACCCTTCACCATACACCCTGTGCCATTACACCATACACGTTACACCTTTGCACCATACACCTTACACATTACACCATAATGCAAATTAATTTCAAAGAAGCGTGCGACTGAAAAATTTATACTTATTTTAAAAAACGAAGTTTAATCACAATATTGTAAATTAATGTATAAAATTAAAAATCAGTTCTTATCAATATTTTGCATAGTTGTACACCATTCATTCACACCATTCCTGATCGCACGTTCAACCATTACACCATTCCCCTTACACCATACACCATACACCATAGCAACATACACCTTCTACCGTTGCACCATATGCCATACACCATTACACCATACACGTTTTTTTTGGGAAGTTTACACCATCCAAGGGCTGTAATGCCGTTGGCATAATTTTAGAACCGAATGAGAAACGTTATTTCTCAAACGTTTTATATCGCAGTGTTTGACGAATGTTTTTGACATCTCATGTTATGTTGTCTAAACTCACCATAGATATCAGGCTACAAAGTAGACAAAAGACTCATCAGTCTAAACTGGAGCAGACATGAGGTCAATTACTTTTGAAAGTAATTAATTACATTCAATTACAACTACAAAACCTTCAATTAAATTACACATTACATTTGACTTCTTTTGTACTTGAGTATCATGCATTGCTTTTTAGTAATTACAATTAGAACATAGAATGAATTTTTTCACATATATAACAGTGTACAACTTATACTAATATGTACATTTTTGTATTTTGACAAATTAATTTTTTGAGCATTCTACCATTACATTTCACATCATCAATTTCAAATGTTCCATCACGCAGTCTGCATCTTTCGGGCCTAAATAATACAAAAAGAGAGCCCTAATTTTAATATTTTGAAATATTTTTTTTATTTTGAACACTTCATCACAAAATTATTTTTCCTTAAGAAATGATTAAGAAAGCCTGTTTTTTTTTTAAATATACTTTAGTTTTTATCACAATTAATTGATTTAATAATAAATCTTTCCTAATTTAGATCTAAGTTATTAACTATACACAAAATGAAAAAGATACCTAAGGAATGAATTACATGTACCTATGGGTATATTTATCTCTCTCTCTAATTGACTTAACACCTGTTTAACATGCAAACATGACTATTGTAAAACAGTCATCTTTTGTTTTTCTATTATATTATAGTTTATAATAAAACAAATAGCCAGAAGTTATGTTTATTGATTGACTACGTACTTTAAAGATGATTATGTTAAATTAATGTATAACAATATCTATCTGAATATACATGTACGTATCAAGTTAATTAAGGTATAAGACAGTGACTTACTTATGGTTTCTTTTAAGCACAAATTATGGCATGTTTCTACAATTTGTTTTTTCTTTTTTGTTCATTCAATACAAAATAAAGTATCCCCCATGGTTTTGTATTTCAGAATGTATACTGTGTAGGCTTTGCTTTGTCAGCTAACTACATTTACTAAGGTCATGGCTTTTCATCATTTTTTGAGAAAATACAATATTCAATCTTTCTGATCCAAAATTTCAAATGTAATTGAGTTGTAATTGAAAAGTAATTGTCAATTACAGTCAATTTTGGCTACTATGTAATTCATTACTTTGATTTACTTGTAATTGAAAAAATGCTCAATTACACATTACATTCAATTACTTGAGAAATTGTAATTAATTACGGTCAATTACAATTAAATATTTCAATAAACATGATAAACTGAACTGGAGACGGTAGATAAAGTCGTCTCCCGTGAGGTATCTCGTCGGACATGCTAAAATACTGGCATTCCTGCAAAAACATTAACATAGCGTTATTTTCATTTTTTTAGCACTGAGAAGATACCGTTTATGATAAAATATTAGTCGCCAAGGATATCAGCAATCAAGTAGTGTATCTGTACTGGCATCATTCATAACATATTCCTTTTTTAAATTAAAATTTTTAAAGAAACTAAGGTTTCAACTCTCTTTAGCAAGGTGTCGTTTATGGTGATATCGCTCTTCACGTGTTTCGTTATAAACTAATGTATCCTTAAATTTCAAATATTTTGCTTTGCGGGTTCCTATTGAGGGTAAATGCACAAAAACGCTCCAATGCATGCATTTTATAAAGTGTTATTATTATTTTTACTCCTTAGATGTTTAACCTTCGGAATGTACTTAGTTTAATAGATGTTACATTGTATATCATTTTCTTAACAAAACATCAATTCCTGAAGAAGAAAAAAACATGGATTAATTCATAATCATGTAAATAAAAAAAATAAAAAAAGCAAAATTTGTCCGCTGTTATTGAAATTGAGTATTTCCTTACGCTGATATTTTATTATTATGTAAATCTGAGCTATACTTTTGATATTAACCATTATCAGAACTTGCCTTGTAACTGGCAATACAAACCTCCTCTTTTAAACCATATAACATAGAACGTGTACAAAAATAATATCGTAAAAAATTCTAAACGGAACAGCAAAAATTGTCTGTTATCTTTACCTATTGGAGTTGCAACCTTAGTACTCTAATTTTGTTTTACTTCGCTAGGGTATATTCATATTATAGTTAATTATTCTTCTATTGTAGATATTTATCAAGCAGATAACAGATTCTAATCTGTGTTCATTTCGACAGCTGTTGGAAACCCTTAGAATCATTAAAAAATGTTTATTGGTGGTGAAAGGCTGAGCAAATTCCAGCTATTTAAATTTTATTGATGACTACGTGCATAAGTAGCATTGATAGATATTCCGGATCTTAACATTGTAGTTTTGATGATTGACTCTGGGTACGATGAATAACTCAACACTGGACCAGAGCTCTGGTTTTCCCGTTATTTTAATAGTTTTTATTGTTTTACAACAACTAGTATTCATTACTGCTCTTGTTGGCAACAGTCTTGTTATATTTATATTCATCAGTAAACTTAAATTTAAAAACAATACAAACAAATTTGTAGTAAATTTAGCAGTTGCCGACATGTTAACCGGAATAGTATCAGGAATACAAATATTTTATTTTGTTTATCCAAGTATCGCAAATTACATGACAGTTTGTTTTCTGCGCTACCTGTTGATCAGTTACACGACACTGGTATCCCAAATGACAGTCTTGTTCACAGCGTTAGACAGATATATTGCCATTTGTCATCCGCATCACTACAAAAAAATTCTGACAGCAAACGCAACAATACTTTTGTCTCTGTTTCCATGGATATTCTGCTTATTTTTTGTTGCTCTCCCATTCTGGGGTTTGCATGTTTGGAGCCCTAGTTTTCCATGTGAATATTTATTTTTATTTCGTAGGGGTTTCTACTTGTCATCATCTCTCATAATGTATAGTTTCAGCATGATAACCTTTGTAATGTATATTTTGATACTGAAAGCGGCCTGGCGGTTTTATTCTAGAGTTGCACCAGTGAGTGGCGGCTCCGTGGAAAATCAGCAAACAACGAGATCCAAGAACTTGGATCGTGATGTACGAAGTGCCAAAGTTACCGGTGTCGTTACGTTGGCATTTTCGTTCTGTTGGCTACCTTTCACGTCTTTTCCATTCACGAAAGGTATCGGAATTGATCAAACGACCATGACAGAATTAACTTTAATGAATTGGTTGGTGTTTCTTGGTCTTGTAAACAGTATAATAAATCCATTTATTTATGCATGGAAACGTCGGGACTTTACTAAAGAATGTAAGAAAATATTTAAGTGCTTTAAGAATAATAATCAAGAAGAACCAGTTGCACAGGCTACTCCCCAACCTTAACGACATCCGCTGGGTTTTAGAATGAAAGTCGTTCGTTTTATCTATACTTCAAAATATTATGACAGGGGTTTGAATGTATGTAACTAAAATGTCACTGATTTCAGTTAGTGTGATCGTTTATTTAATGCTCGACAACCTTATTTTAACTCAACTTCAGTGGAACAGTTTCATGGAAAGGCAATATGTACAATGTAAAATGGTTTCTATGTGCTGGTAAATTTCAGATCTGGATATCGACTCGCAACAACATTGCAAAATTTTGAAAGTGAAGTATTGAGCAGAGAAGGCCTAACTTACTTATCTATTAACTTTTAAAACAAAAGAATGACACCAGAACAATGTAAGCGGATACGAAGACATATTGATTTATAAAGATTTTTTTGTAGCTTGAAGAAACAACGACTGTTTATTAGTTTTGTATACAATCGTCTTAAAATGTTATGTTCTGTGTATTATTTGATCCGAACAGATGTTATGTATTGGTAAAGCCATTGATTGACATATTTGTGATACTCGTGACAGATTTGACGTAAAATTGTCAGAAGCCAATTGTGGTCTCTCTCTCTCTCTTTCTTCATCCATAAATTAAGATTTATATTTTTCAATGATGGTCTCTCTCTCTCTCTCTCTCTCTCTCTCTCTCTCTCTCTCTCTCTCTCTCTCTCTCTTCCGATCGTATTTCTTCATCCATAATTTTTTTTAGATTTATATTTTTCAAACCATCAGTCCTAATAATTCGTTTGGTCCTCTCTTAACCTAGCAACAACAATAAAACAAAATACTGCATAAATTCTTCTATAGTCAACAGACAAACTTCACTGTTGTAGTCGTATTACTGGGAATATATCAGATGTTACTTCGTGAAAGTACCGTGGTAAAAAAAAAATCTGATTTTCAGTACGATGTTATTTTTCATACCCTACAATATGCTTTATCTTATTCATGTTATTCCTTTAATTCGTGTTATTACTTTCACTCATGTTATTCCTTTTATTCGTGTTATTCCTTTTATTCCTTTTTATTCATATTGCATTAAAAATGTAAGTCTGTTAACGACATAGAAGATAATTAAACATTTTATCTCACGAAACTTTCGGGAAATGTACGATAAGAAAAGTTTTCGAAACATGATTGAGTCATTTTCCCGAAAAATGTAATTGCATTTGATTCTTAAAATGGTTTATCAGAACCTAAGCGCAACAGAATAAGGCGCGAGCGTAATAGAAATTTTGAATTACTAAATTTGATTGTAGTGATAGCATTGAGCGTGATTTAGAGAGTTTTTAATTACAGTTACCTATAATAACTGAATTAAGTTCAAGTGGACCATTTATTTACTGTTTGGACATTGTTTTTTAAATTGAAATATATATTTAACCAAAAATAAGGCTTTCTGTTAGCAAATTATTACGTATATGATTCTAAATACATTGCATGATTGACAAACTCATTTACTTTGATAATCCTTGTTCGATCTACTCATGACTTAGTTTTCTGAGAGGACATCTTTCAAGTACTATTATATTACTTATAAATAAATATATGTTTATGCTAAACGATAAAGGTCTTAAAGGACTCAGGTCGAAACGATTTACAGAGATAATTTATATAGATATAAACAAAGGCGAGAACAACATTTACATTCTTAACTATGGCTCCTTTAAATTAAGCAATGCGTTGTTCTAAAAAAATAATTGGCAAATTCGTTCTTTTAGTGTAATTGAATTGTCCACTGAATATATTTTTCAGAAGCAGCCAAGTCTAATGAGTGTAGGGTTTTATCACCATAATTCCAAAAGAGAATGACGGAATGACGGAACATAATATATGACAATATATATCACAAATATTTTGACCTTTAGTGACCTTTAATGCAGAAACAATTATTACCCCTGTATATATCCCATTGACTACAATATTTATGCATTCTCAATACTTATTTTTTTACTTTTTTGTAAAAAAAAAAAATATTGTATTCTGATTAAGGGCACCGAAGACGATTAACATTTGACATGACAAGAAACGCGAGATTAAAACAAATAACATTCAATAGAAACAAATTATATAAAACAATTTTGTGGTTACAAAAGTTTGAAGTAAATATATAAGCATCTCATGCTATTATAAAACACAATACAAGTGTGGCTGTATTAGGTTTGCTTAGCCCAGAAGGTCCAGCACGTTTACAGTCATTCCCTTGTCAGCAACAAGTAATATATGAGTATGGTTCCTCAAATGCAGCTGGCACCAGTGGATGCTACCTTACGGACTGATTGGCTTGCTACATTATGATGTGACAATGTTCTTTATCCTGCAGGTATTAAACGCATAAAAGGAATTCGCAGTAGCGTAGGAAACTTGGATGCAGTTGAAACCAGAGGACGATGCCATTATGATATAAGAACGTTTTCCTTTATATAACAAAAACGCATTAATTAGTATATATCTTTCATTTCAATTTGTTTTAAGGACTTAATGTAGTATGTGTGTGACGTTCAAATCAACAGATACATACAGTTTAATTCAAGATGTGTGATATATATTAATAATCCTAAGTAGATGTATGTGTTTAAATAGCATATGATTTTTAATCAAATCAACATTTTCTACATTAAATATCCGAATGATAATTGTTTATTGTTGTATTATTAATCAGGCTATTTGTTTTTTTTCTTTGTACTACATTTGCCCCATTGTTGAATACCTTGCGGTGACCAATACCTGTTCACAACTTTGTCCTTTGTATTTTTTTGATATTTGTCTCATTGGAAATCATATCATATCTCATCAGTTTGATACGTAGGAAATCAACAGAAACGCCAAACCTGAAGCATTTGCGGCTTCATGAATTGATTGACTTGATAATTTTTACGTTTGGTAGACGTGTTTTTTCAACAAATAATCGGCATCCTCATTGGAACCAACTGTGCCCCTCTTCTTGCCGACTGGTTCCTTTATTCACATGAGGCTGACTTCATACAGGAGCTTCCTAGGAAGAAAGAAAGGAAGTTAACAGTATTCTTTAAATTCACTTTCCGCTATAGAGATGATGTTCTCTCACTAGAAAATTCAAAATTTGGTGACTATGTTGAACGCATCTATCCCATAGAACTTGAGATAAAAGATACAACAGAAACAGATAATAGAAATAAAAAGATACAGATAAGTCGAATAAGAAGATACAGATAAGTAGAATAGAAGAAACAGATAAGTCTGCCTCATATCTTGGCTTACATCTAGAGATTGACAATGAGGGTCGATTGAAAACAATACTTTACGACAAAAGAAATTATCTAAGCTTTACAATTTTGAACTTTTCTTTTCTATGTAGCAACATTCCAGCAGCGCATGCATACGGAGTATATATCTCCTAGTTGATACGATATCAAAGGGCTTGTATTTATTATCATGCTTTCCTTAATAGAGGGTTGCTGCTCACAAGGAAGTTATTAAACCTATAGTTCCAAATAGTTAAGTTGAAGTCATCCCTCAGTAACTTTTACGGACGCCATCACGAGTTTGTTGGCCGTTATGGAAGATCTGTTTCATAGATTACGACGAATATGTTCCAATTGTCGTAACCACAATCCCGTCCTCTTTTCCCCGAATGTGACCTAACGAATAAGACTTATCACCGACTTTGTATTTACATAGCAACACGGCAGGTGCCACATATGGAGTAGGATCTGCCTACCCTTCCAGAGCACCTGAGATCAACCCCAGTTTTTAGTGGGGTTCGGGTTGGTCAGTTTTTCGTTTTCTATGTTGTGTTTTAGGAACTGTTGTTTGTCTTTTGGTATTTGTCTTTTTTAGCCATGGCGTTGTCATTTTTTTTTCGACTTAAAAGTTTAAAAGTTCCTTTGGCATCTTTCTCCTCTCTTTAAAAAAATGTAAAACTAGTTTAATTCCATCTTCAACTGTATAGTAATACGATCACACTGTCGATGACCTTTTCAGTGCTTTTATCCTTTTAAAGATTTATATTCTTCCTTTTACTACACAGTAAACTGTCAATTTTCTTAAATGCAAAGCTTAAATTGAAAGCTCTTTAAAGTAACCTTAAGTTCATTAAATATTGCTAATTATTTGTTCTTTAATATAAACTTTGATTTTCTTTGAATTAAAAAGAAATGCAGATTTAAATTCCACATCTGTCGTTAAGATACTGAAAGATATGATTTAAATGTGCTTATCATATATAACGCTGTAGCATTGAAGATTAATCCTTCAAAGCTATTGATTAATTTTAGTAATTATGTCATTACACGATAATCTATATCTATGATATTAATTTTTCAAACATCTTTAAGTTTTCTTTTGATCTTTCCTTTTAAATTCCTATTATAACCCCCTTTTCTGAAGTCACATTTCAGACATCAAAACATGGATATCTTTGTATTCTTAGAAATTCATTTGTGCATTAAAACTATATTATATAACGTTACTTCTTTGATTTAACTAAAGGTTGGTTTAAACTTAAAATTAATGACAAAGTATCTACATTTGGAAGATGGTTTTTAAACTGTTGTATTGATACTAGTATCCAGATTTTCACATATGCATATGTCATTGCCAGTGTTTAAACGTTTTGTTAGTGAAAGATGAAGAATGATTAGGGAACTTGTTTGGTATGGTAACAACACTGTTTGGCCACTTGGTTATTTGATTTATTGTTGATGTTTAATGCCATATTCAACACTCCTGACTATATCATTTTGGCAAGTTTTTATTGGTAGATGATGTCAGAGTTCCAGAAGGGACCATCGACCTTCGGTAGGAAAACTGACCAACCTGGTCAATTAAGATCGGAGTCGAATGCACCTTGCTACGAGCAGGATTATAACTCAAAACATCAGTGTTGGTCAATTGAACTCAATCTCGATCATAAAGAACTTTAAAATTAGTGTGCTTCTCATAATGTAAACAAATTCTTTGCCATTCAACATTTTTTTTGTTTGTTAATTATTAGTGACGCAAATAGCTAATTCAACCTACTGTAATTACTTGGTATCTGTCATCAGTCACCATCTGTTTACTATTCACCTTCAGAAGTAATTAGCTTTTCAGGTCTATATAAAAACTCATCATTTCATTCCGGTTGGGCAAAACCTTAACCGGACAAAACAAATATCTATTTTGATAGGACATTTTTTTAAACTTTTTCTCCTTTCAAAAATATTTTTAAAACTTTCTGTAAAGGATAACTAAGCAACAACTCAACTTTTTTTTAAATATTTGTCAAACAAACAGGAATTAAGATAAACATTTACCTTTATTAGTTATTTATGAGTTTGAGTGTATGATTTGGCTTATTTAGGATTTTCTGTTGAGAAGTTATATATTGTCGTCTTGGTAACCTCATTTAACTAAAAAGTAAATTCCATTGAAAAATGTGACCAACTTTGTGATATAACAAATATTCATGGGCTAGAGGTATAGGGG